CCGCCACTGATAGTCAGCAGCGAGCGCCTCCGCCTCCAGGACCCAAGGCGGCGTCCCAGCCAGTACACACGCCGCCTCAAAGGAGATGGTGCGATAACCACGGATGACCCTGACCGCGATGGTGCGTTGCGGCCGTTGCAGCAGCTTCGCCACCCCCACGGCCAGGGACTGGCCCCACACGGGCGCCCCGTATAGGGCCATTGATCGCACCACCCCCGTATAGAGACGGCGCGTCACCTGGTCAGGCCCCCCGACGTTGGGCAGAAGCCGGCTTAACGCGCCGGCCACCCCCAACAAACGAGGGACCAGGTTCTGAAAGTGAGCACGGAAGGTCCAACGACTGTCTAGAATGAGGCCGAGGTACTTCAACTGCACCCCGACCCCGATACGGACGCCTCCAACCACGATATGGGCATCGACAGGTGGCACTCTCCGGGGCCTGTGGAACCACATGGCCTCGGATTTACTGAGCGCCACGTCGAGGCCCAATCTCCTGATTTTGCCGACGACATGCGCCACCCCAGCCGTAGCAAGACGGGCAGACTCAGCAAAACTCCCCCCCCCGGGCCACGACCAACGTGTCGTCTGCGTAACAGATTACGCTCAGGCCCGGGAGGAGGGCACCCCTCAGCACCCAGTCATACCCGATATTCCACAAAAGAGGGCCGAGCACCGACCCCTGTGGAACACCGCGCACGACCGGGAGAAAAATCTATTAGGACAATGTACTGCTTTTACAGTGCTACATCCGGGGGGAGTAAAGTTATATTAAGATCTTGTTGGTGGTATTATATCTTACTGGTGGTAGGACCTCTTGTGAGTCCGCACGGGTGGGTACCACCACCCTGCCTATTTCTGCCGTGAAGCAGTAATGCATTTCGGTTTGAAGGGTGGGGCAGCCGTTGTAACTATACTTGAGACCTTAGAACTTATATCTCAAGGTGGGTGGCGCATTTACGTTGTGGATGTCTATGGGCTCCAGTAACCACTTAACACCAGGTGGGCTGTGAGCTCGTCCACCCGTCTAAGCAATAAATAAAAAAAGGTATTTTCACGACTTTGTCATTTTTCATTCGATTTGTAACGCGCTTTACTAGTCGTCATCTTAGTTAGGCAGGCGGTGTTCACCACATTGCGTTGTCTATAAGGGTAAGCAGCTCGTTTGCTTATCCACACTATAAACAGAACTTACCTGTAGTAAGGAAGCATTGACGCCCTCATAAAATGAAAGTATCCCTCTGGTTTTGTACACTTCACGGGCGCCATTAATAATACCTTTGTATTGGGATTTGTTTAGCATCTGCCTCACTCTTATCACCTCCAAGGGACTGACCAATAAGGCCGTGGAGCCACCAGCTAATACTCCACACATGAAGACAAGGAATGGCCTGAAATGAATACATACAATGCTGACTGCTAAACATAATATAACGAAAGTTTTTTTGTTAATATTCTCAACTGTATTGTAAAATGACTGGCCGACACTTCGAAACAGAACAAATGCGATAGGCAGCGCAGCAGAGCTTACCCCTTTAGGCTCTATGAAATATCAACCGATCTAAGACATTTATTTAATAATAATTAGTTTGAGCTATATTTCGGTGTTTCAAATGTAATAATCTAAATGCAAATGTAATTAATATCTAATAAGTGGACTCTTTATTTTGAATATTTGCGATGGAGCGATTGTTGATAGCTCGGAAGCCTTTTGCAAATTCGTCAGGACGGGAATTTTCATTTACTTTAGTTTGTGTGTGTGTCTACGGGCACAAATTATTGTACTAATTTAACACAGTACCACAAAAATGTACCACACTAATAACCGTTCAAGTTTGTTTTCAATAATTCACATTAAAACCTATTTGATAAACAACAAAAAATATATTTAATTCGTAACGGCTTTTTTTTTTTTTAACGCTGGTGAATCCATTTACGATACCCGGTCGTGGGGGGTAACGGACCGGGTTATGTCGGACTCCGGCGCCTCCTGAGAGGAAGAAGGGGAGAAGAGAAGGGCCGAGGTCCTTCACCTCCCCCAATTTCTCACAGGAGACTACGCCTTGAAAAAGGCGCGCGAAGCACTTGCCCCGCAGAACGACTACCGACAAAAATCCCATCGAGCTCCATCACACCGACTACACGAAACTTACGGTACCGCGATGCGCGCCGAATATTTAATAATATAAAATTCGTAACGCCTACGGTATTGATACAAGCAAAGTATGGGACCGAAAGTTGAGATTAGAAACCTTTCTTTAATGTACCTTTTTTTTATTATGAAGGAATGATTACTGGTTGTCTGAGCGCCTTTCCAGTTTCACCAGGACAGGTGGACGAGCAATGAACCGCAATGGTATTTGCTGCTTTGTTACGGGTAAGAGGAAGTTCCTGGCTAAGCCCTTACTCGCCCACCTGTCCTGGTGAAACTGGAAAAGCCTCTGGGCCACCAGTAATACCTCATTCATAAAAAAAAGGAAATATGTATTCGAGACAACAATGAGTAAATTCAGACCAAAAAAACACATATCTTCATCAGAATACTGCGCTGAGCGACAGTTCATATTCAGATATCATTTCGTCACATAGCATCCGTTTGAGGAATGATTTCTCATAGATGGTGATTCCAGAGCACTATAATAAGTCTTTTTTCAAACGTGATTTGAAAAGTTTATTGAATGGTAGGCAACTCCGCCCTTGGGATTTTTATTGTCCATTAGAATTGGTTTAGGCCGTATGTACTGCTGATGGTAGGACCTCTTGTGAGTCTACTGGTGGTAGGACCTCTTGTGAGTCCGCGCGGGTAGGTACCACCACCCTGCCTATTTCTGCCGTGAAGCAGTAATGCGTTTCGGTTTGAAGGGTGGGGCAGCCGTTGTAACAATACTCGAGACCTTAGAACTTATATCTCAAGGTGGGTGGCGCATGTACGTCCTAGATGTCTATAGGCTCCAGTAACCACTTCACACCCGGTGGGCGGTGAGCACGTCGACCCATCTAAGTAATAAAAAAATATATGTTTCTTTGCCTATTAAGAAAACGAAAGAAACGTCATCGATGTGTTTTTCTGAATTAAAAGTTAAGGAGAATAACTTACTTATATCTATTATGAACATTAGAGACCGCGACAGCTTTCGTTGAGACTTCGTACACAAAAAACTGACACGTTAATGAAATCATAGAATGTATTTGGCCTACATTGTGCCCTTGCCAGAAGGCCGTAATCCCTTCGTTCTTAAATATCTTCCGCGTGGCCTTGAACCATTCCTTCTGATCGGCTGCCCGGACCGCTGGACTCTTCAGCTGTTCCCGCAGTTTCACGACGTCCAGAGGTTGGGTTATGAACCGCGTCATGAATCCCGAGACGCAGCCAGAGATCAACTTCTGGTTCGAGGTCAGCGTGTCATTCTCCTGATAGCCGACCATCTAGAATAAGCATTATGCGGTTTTTTTTTATATGAAATTACATTTCGTCATCTTGTTTGTCAATATTCGATAGTGACAGATAGAGAATTTTCAAAATACTTTATCCATTGCGAACGATAGACTAAAGCGAAAGAGAATTACTCTGTTTTAGCGTGCTTTCTGGTTAAATACAAATTCGAATTTTATTTATTTCAATTTGGATGGAGCGAAAAGAAACTGCTCTAGATGAAGTTCAAATGTAACTACGAAGACATATTTAACAGCTTTGGAGAGTCTAAATATATACTTAGATTTGCAGAATAGGACCGCCTTTATGTCTACGACCTTGTGACTGTGGTGAATCGAATGTTGTGACGTCAATGGTTATAAAGCACTTTAAAATTATTTAAACTTTAAGTCGTTTAAATTTTCGTGGTCTAATAGATAATACGACAAATTCGTATCTATAACCAGTTGGTGGTAAATAACCCATGGTACTTCTTGAAGTCTTCGTGGCCTAAAGGATAATACGGCAAATTCGTGTCCATGACCATTTAACACCATTTAAAATCCCATGGTACTCTTCGATCAATAATAGTAGAAGATGGTACTTCTAAATGTTGTCCTACTAGGAATCATCAGCAATTTCTCTTACCGCACCGGTAGATAATGAGGTTATCAAAACTATTTACGCAACAAATTAGGATCCTCCGAATCTTAAGAATAATCTTGTAAAAGTAACTTATCAAGATCATCACGTCAAAAATATCATTTTCTTGTTTAAGTAAGAACATTTAATCTAATTAGAACGTTGTTTTCGTATAAAATAACTGGATTGCGAACAATAAACACATACAACTTTGTTATTAGCGAGGGCAGTAGAATTATATCAATGCCCTTTCGATAACATTGTTATCATTGCATTGATTTATAAGTTATCAGGACACGGCTGCGTCTCCCGTCGGCCAATTTAAACTGAACTCTTTTTAATTAATTGTTTTAATGCAATTAAGTAGATAATGAAGTTTTAAAATGGTCAATATTTCTGATTACTGTGAATTCGTTTGTTTTTGTTATGCAGTTAAAGCTTTTTATTTATTTATTGCACGGTAGACGGGTTCACCTGGTTTTAAGTGGTTACCGGAGTCCAGAGACATCTGCAACGTAAATGCCACCATCCACCTTAACACAAGTTTTAAGGTCCCAATTTTTACTAAATTTTATTAAAATACAGTGCAACAGCTGCCCCACCCTTCAAACCGAAACGTATTACTGCTTCACGGCAGAAATAGGCACCTACCGGTGCGGACTCACAAGACGTCCTACCACCACACGAAAATTATAATTTTGCGGCTTTGATTTATAGTACACGATTTTTTTCTTCGCCGTTGAAGTCAATTGTGAACATTTGATAAGTACGTATTTCATTAAAAATGTTGGTACCTGCCAGCGGGATTCGAACACCGGCACAGTTGCATCGTTCGACAAGAGTGCACCAAGCATCTTATCCTTTAGGCCACGACGACTTGAAAATGTTAAAGCATCGAACATTTAATTTTCAAATTCAACATAGTCTTTTGATCTAATTAATAAAGGTTTAACAATATATGTTTAGTCTCAATTAATTATCTGTACTGCTATTAATTTAGATGCCGAGTTTAGGTTACGTGCATTTTATAGTTTTTTTTAGATTACTTGCTGTTTTTCAATTTTGCAGGTTAACACTCTATAGGTGGATATATTGTTACGGATTTTTTTTATGTTAGTGGTGGTTTGAAGAGTTTTTGACAAATATTTTCGTCGGCAACAAGAATATTTCTTAAGATAAGTTTGCAAACTCACACCAAAAGCTTTGTTAGGTTGGAATTTAAAGAAACGTATGACGAAAATAATTTATTTCATATGATAAATCTTATATGGAATGCATACTTCACTCACTACATTTCAGATTACATTAAATTTATACTTGTATTATGTCCGTAACATTTAGACGTATAGTTAATGCGCAAGTAAACCCGCATTCGTTGTTAGTATGAACGATATCTACCTCGGACCTCGGCGTCCGTAGTTAATATGATAGCTTTTCCGTATTGATACAAATTGTTCATTGTGTTTGACTGACGGCTGGGACACGGACGGTTTTGGCACGTGATATGTCTGAAGGGAGCAATGCGGGCCTTGCGTATGGAGATAAGGTAAGTGCAGAACGAAAAAGACTTATTATTTCTATTAAATCATGCTGTGTTCCATTTGTGGATGTATATTTTAATTGGTAATGCGATGATTATTCAATTAGTTTTTATACGATCGATCAACAAACGATTTCGGTCGTTCGCGTGCTTATTAAAATTAATTTATCGTATTACCTTCAAACCGGACTGCATTAATGCTTCACGACATGAATAGGGCATGACGGTGGAGTCAGGTGGTAACAGTAATTGTCAGACTGACTTAAAACACGATCTCCGATTACATTTACATGTCATTTTTTTTCTATCGAAGACCTTTTGTGAAGACTGATATTAATAATAAGAAATGAGTGCTGTTGCAAGCTTTTTAGGACGGGAGATAGTTTTGATTTTATTACGAAGAGTGGCTTTGGAACAACTACAGCTAGGATTGTGGCCTTCATTATTTTATTGGCTAGAGGTGTGAGCGAGTTCACGGCATTAAGAGGTCATCGCGGCCCATAAGCATCGCAACGAGAATACTGCCAACCATCTCAGTGATATTATTATTAAAAGCCATATGTCCCATCCTTCCAACTATAGCACATGGCTGCATTGCGATAGGAATAGGTAGGATGCTGGGAGCTACCCGTGCGAGCCTATCACAAATATTGACGTAAAATTACTAATATAGCCCATTCGGTTTTGTCGATATTTAAGGTATATTTTGTAGTCTTTCGATCTTCTTATAGATAAATACTTATTCTTCTGATACTAAACTACTCTCATATATATGTGATATAAGACAGCGTCTTGTTTTATGATCGTGGAAGAATATTGATTTCTTAGTAGCTGAGAAATATTAGTAGTAGTAATCTGGTTCCCTGATCGATTTGTAAATTCGCAATACTATACCGATCGGACCCCGAACGCCTATGAAGTGAATAAGTATGCAGTCTTATCTGTATTTACTACACGGTATAATTCATATATACAGGGTGTTACAAAACTACCCGTAAAGCTGAAATGAGCTTAAATGGGCCCTTATAACGAGTCCATTCACAATATTTAAGAACCGTAGCAATGTTGTATAGCATACTCCCAAAAAATAAAATAAAATATTATTATTTTCAGTGATGTACATATCCTATTTCAGTAAAATTAAAGAGTAAACTACGCAGAATGTACCTACTTTTCTATGCCTGAAGTATGAAACCTATCCAATTCGCGGAACGACAACAATTTGACAAGTACAACAAGTACTTGAGTATAATGACATCCTTGTATTGAGGTAGCAAACATTTATGAATGAAAAATAGAAAAACGAATAAAGTAGACAATTATTAGGTAGGTTGATAGGGCTTTCTGTTAAATAATCTGGTTCCCTGACATGACAGCTTACTAGGGTTGACAAAATTTTTGACTTTGATATTTAATTATATTTTTTACGGTGTATTTTGTAACACGTTGTATATATATAAAAAAAAAACAGCTTCGTATTTTTATTTCGTCTGATTTACTTATTTTCCCTCTACGAGTATTAACAGTTACTGAGATTTAGTGATGTCAAATCAAAAAAATAAATGGAAAAAGTTCTTTTAAAAATTTACATCTATGAAACATGTAAGAAAGTGATTTTGGTTGAATTTCGGGTGAACCCTGATCATGTACATTCTTTATTTATTACTACTGGCAACAAAAGTCAAGAAGCTGGTAAATGAAATGATATAAATTTGCTTCGCCGGCATAGATATTTGCAGTACACCAATTTGGTAATATTAAAGGCAAGCATCCCATCACGAACGAACAAGGTCAATTTCCTTTAACGTCCAAAGGTCACCACCCAAAGGTCACCGCCATATCATAATTGTTATTAATCTTCTTATGACTTTAAAGTAATTACTGTTTCGTGACAAAACAAAACCGTAGCAACTACACGGAACAATTTAATTTAGTTTCCCTGTAAATATTGAGCCATAAAATTGTTTATGAACATGGTGTAGTCGTTGTAAAACGTTGACGGCCGGCTTACAAACGCTACGCCGCGCCGTGTGCTTAGTGCGAGTTTTTTAAGTTGGAACAGCGCCCCTAGCGACAAACGAAGGGAAGCTTAAGCACACCAGCCTCACATCTTCGAGTCGGCATAGGCTCTTAACATCAGGCGGGCCCTAACGTGTGGACGAACGTCTAGCTAGTGCATTAAGAAGCAACTTCTCAAGTTGTCGCTGTGAAGTCGTCGTGGCCTAAAGGATAAGACGCCCGGTGCGTTCGTATCCAGCGATGCAACGGTGTTCGAATCCCGCAGGCGGGTACCAATTTTACTAATGTAATACGTACTTAACAAATGTTCACAATTGATTTTCACGGTGAAGGAATAACATCGTGTAATAAAAATCCAACTCACAAAATTATAATTTGCGTAATTTACTGGTGGTAGGATCTCTTGTGAATCCGCACGGGTAGGTACCACCACCCTGCCTATTTCTGCCGTGAAGTAGTGATGCGTTTCGGTTTGAAGGGTGGGGCAGCCGTTGTAAGTTGCTGAGGCCTTAGAGCTTATATCTCAAGGTGGAAGGAAGGATGTCTATGGGCTCCAGTAACCACTTAACACCAGGTGAGCTGTGAGGTCGTCCACCAAAAAAAGTAGTTGTGTATGTAAAATTAATACTGACATAAAATATCTTTTTGCTTATTCAAGCACTGAGCTTACGATTTGGTAAAGCCAAAGCTAAAGTTGTCCCTGAATAAATTTCACTTCAACTTTTTCGTTAAAAGCTTGATTCAGATTTTTGTAATCGGATCTTGGGTCCTTAGTGTTTTCTGATAAAAAAAGATTTATGCCGCCAAACACCGCCATCTAGTATCGAAAGAGAAGAACTACAGAGGGGGTAGAGTTAGCAAGTAATTCATGTTTGTGTGCAAACCGGTCATTCGAGTAGTTTTTTTTTTTTGTTTTTTTTTTATGACAACGAGAGGCAAACGAGTGTTGTAAAAATTAAGCGACTGTTGGTTTGTTAATTTCTTAGGACAGTTCCAGAAGTAATAATACTCCGATCCAGTCTAATACATCAGATGGACGATCTCCTCAACTTCTACCACCAATTGGGAAGGCAGAAATTGGTTTCCCAGGTTAGTAAAGCAATTACAGTGCAGCCTATTTATCATGTATTCAAATTTAGGATAAAGTAGTCGATTCTCTTATGACATTTAAAGTTTTAAAGTGAGACCTCAAGTATCAACGTGACTGGTGCTGATCTTGAGATCAGAGCAAAGAGGCACACGACCTCATTACCCTGCTGGTTTTGAATGGTTGCCGGAGGTTACAAACAATACGGTAGGGCGAATCTAAGCCCCATACTTTATTTATTTATTTTTTATTGCATAGATGTGTGGACGAGCTCACAGCTCACCTGGTGATAAGCGGTTACCGGAGCCCATAGACATCTACAACGTAAATGCCGCCACCCACCTTGAGATATGAGTTCTAAGGTCTCAGTATAGTTACAACGGCTGCCCCACCCTTCAAACCGAAACGCGTTACTGCTTCACGGCAGAAATAGGTAGGGTGGTAGTACCTACTCGTGCGGACTCACAAGAGGTCCTACCACCAGTAAAGGCAAGCAGCAGTGCAGTTGCCCCTGTCATTGTCGCTGGCGGTAAGCTCGTCCGCCTTATCAGGCTATAAGCGAACCTACGGAACGATCTTAATAATATTATTACCGATGGTCATCCTACCCTTGAAATGGTAAAGCGTAATTGCTCAACAGCAATTATATTTAGGATTGTGGTATCGAATCTGTGCAAACTAACAAACAATTCATAATACCTATGATCGCTTAAATAAGCTCATAGATTCTGCGGATTTTGATATTATAAATTATTCTCATTTTTTCACCGTTCAAGTCAGGCATTGAATTCCGATGATAATGATCACGTAATTTTTTTTCTTTGGTTTTTTCTTATTTCTACTGGTAGGTCGTATTGTGAGCCCGCACTGATAGGCATTACCTTTTTGCCTATTTCTCTTGTGAAGCAGTAACGCGTTTCGCATTCAAGGGTAAGGCAGCTGTTCTATTGTAAAACCGAGACTTAGAAATCATATCTCAAGGTGGGCGCGGCATTTAAGTTGTTGATGTCTATGAACCCCGGTAACCACTTAACACCGGATGGGCCGTGAGCTCGTCCACCCAACTAAGCAATGAGATAAATTCTGAACAGGCACTCCGGCTTCGTTGAAGTCCCCGACTGAGAGTAAAGCTCGATTCCACGCTGGTTGCGTTCCAAAGCAGTCAATATACATGGACTGGAATTCTGTACGTGCCGACAAGAAGAAACATTCAGGTAGATATGTGATCAGATTATTATATAGAGAAGACATTGACGATGATATTAGTTTTATTTCGGGTTAGAAATTTGAATGCTAAAAAATCTAAAAAATATATTGGGATATACGAAGCGCTGTTTCGAACATGTTGTCTTACCGTATTTGAAAGAATCCGATCCAATGGTAAATCTAAATTATTCATGGATACATTGAAGATGCACGTTACTATTTTTATATTTCTTAAAACTGCTCGTGTGCCATCTAACGCGTATGATAGTGTACAGAAATGTTCCTTGAGCAACTACAAAGTTTCAACTCAATCATGTAAGCCTTAATAAGAACGTTGGGAACATGATTTAACAAATAACCATTGCAAAAAATTAACCAATAATAGCAAAGTTAAAATTATTTCAGTCTTTAAATTATTTTCTAGACATCTTAAACCGCCCTTAAACTATAATCTTTTCATTAATTATTTAAAGAAATCTTGTATTAAATTTGGTCGTGCAGAAAACTAAAGAAATTCCATTTTTTAAAAGTTTAAATCAATTGTGTCAAGTCAAATGTTCGACTTTCTGTTGTTCACGTAAAATCGGGTTGCAATAACGCTAAAGTCCGAGGCGGATTATCCGTAAGACAAACTAGGCACGTGCCTAGGGGCGTGTAGTTACAAGGGGCGCGCGAGCTCAGATTTTTTAAATAAATAATGAAAATAACATATCGACGATTAAGAACTAAATACCTGAACTAAATGTCCTGTTTCACTAAAGTCTGGCGTTTGATGATACAACGTAATCGTGATTGCAAAAACAACTAGTTAAAATTTATAGTATTATGATGGCCATTTATGGCCGGCACAGGGGTGCCGATAATGTGATTGCCTAGGGCGCTCTGGACCTTTAATCCGTCACTGGCTAAAGTTGTTTTCCTTTTCAGTTAAATATTCAAGGCAAAAGAAAACAAAATCGCTGGCATCTTTCAAAGGTAATCGATGGTACGAGTTTTTGGATAGTTATTGCATATCCAAAGCTTGTTTCAAACTCTAGGCTGGCGTTAAGAATCAGTAACCTTATTAAAACACTTAAATGACGGCTTTGTTTGTATTTGTTTAATGTTATACGTTCGCAAATCGTTGTGTGTGTGTGAGAGTTAAAGCTTTGTGATGTCGTCGATTATTCTTTAAGGAATGCTTCCGTTGCATTAAAAGTGTGGAAAGTGGTGCGCGAGTATCAATAAAAATGTGTGTTTAATACTTTATTCTTTATTCAAGCAAGGATGCACTTCACTCATGCGATAACAAAATATGAGTGAACCCAAAATCGTAAAACTGTTTAATCTACTATATTTGTCTCAATTTTTTTGTCTGTCTTCAGATGCCGAGGAACAGGAAACAATCAGTCATTACCTGAATCGGAATAAGGATTATTTGGAAACATATATATTGGAATCGGTGCCGCAAGATGTCGTAGAGAAGTGGTTGCACATGAAGATGAAGAATAATGCTATCAACGTAATTAATTACCTTAATTTTTTTTTTATTTATAGATTGTCGTGAGATTTTGTATCCCGTTAATGTATGCTTACAGTACAAATATAACGGTCTATGTCATTATCATGTTATCATCAGTACAAGCAGACAGGCATACTGTTAACATAATCGCTTATCAAGGTCAACAGTGCAACCTAACCTAAATATCAGCCCGCTGAGTTTCTCGTCGCATCTTCTGAGCGAGTCGCGATCCCGATCCCTAGTAGATTCATTTGCGAAGCAGCTACTCTTGAGTTATTAGGTCTCCCTTGGAGGCGCTCGGGTAGCTGTTAGCAAATCTGGCCCCTCCTTGTGAAACTGGAAAAGCCTCCGGGCCACAAGTAATCCCTCGATCATAAAAAAGGTCAATAGTGGCATTAGTACAAACTAGCCGATGTTACCGCAAAGCACTTTTCTCAACCTTTGTTTCAAGAAAGACATCATTTAGTACTGAACGTGACGCGACCCACTGAGAAGATCCGGCGAGAAACTCAATGGACCGAGTCTATGGGTTAATTTACGCGTTGAGCCTTTCGCCACAAGTGACGGGTTCGGCGAGGACGGTGACTGGTGCTTGAGGTACCTAAAAGCACCGTTCATGGATCGGGAGGATACGTAATGACGTTGTTCTGTTCGTAGGGCATTTTGTAAGCTATCCTGAATTCCGATTTGAGGTTGATTATTGAGACATATCACAATTCTAGAGGTGAATAGCAGAATTCACTTTATGAAGTCTATAAGATTAGGTAATCACTTAAATTCAGGTGGGCCGTTCTCTGGTAGACTGGAGCTCTCGTTTTTACTCGATTTAATTAGACAAGACCTTCAGAAAAACTGTAAACAAAGTAGTAAATGCCTAATCTCTAACATTTGACCTGTTGCATAAGAAATGCATACGAAACTTGTTCGCGACGAGCGTAAGTTTATCGCGCTGTAACTGTTGACAGATAAACCGAATTTGCAGTTTGCATCGTAATAAAATCGAATAGGTAAATAAGTTTATTTATTTATTTATTTAATGGATCACCAACAAATGAAACACTGGCTTAAACATAGGGTACAAAAATATCAAAACATGACATGTGCTCACTTAATTATAGGTAATCACAGCTAACATCTAGTTCTAGTACCAAATGATTATAAAATTAATTAAATCTGAAAGAAAAAAAACAAAAAATAAAAGGAACAAAAAGATAAAAAGATAAAATTTTTAAAAAGAAAAAATCCATCAATAAACTACATAAAAACAAATAACATGAGAACAATTAACATGGTTTAGGAGCTAAATATTTTCTAATTTTTTTCTTAAAACTAAACAAGTTTTGAGCAAATATGTCCAGATCCAATATACGTATTCGTAGTAGTACGTAGTTCGTATATTATTTAATATAATGCGATTGCCATTGACAACTAAAGATGTTCGAATAATTACAGGTACATCCCAAATTATCATACAATAGGCCATCAGCGAGCCATGAACACTCGCGTACGACAAAGCAAATGTTTATGGTAACTATAATTATCGTTCTACGTATCTTCTGAACTAACGGAGTAAATCGATTTGAGTGGCACTCAAACTAATATTCGATCCTGTTATAAATAAAATGAGTCGACTATTATCAAAGCCGGCAATCTGACTTTTGGACAATGATTGGTAAATCAGAAAAACGAATTATTGACTTTGTATTCCATTGGCAGTCACAAAACTCTTCGGAACGACATCTTAGATAAATAACAGGTTAACTATTAACCTTTATTTAATGCAGGTTTTGAACCGTATTCTTTGAAGGAGACGATTATATTCAAATCAATCTGTATTGACATATCAATAAAATTTTTTTGTCCAAATGCACAGATTGCCACCTTTGATAATAGACGACTCATATATGAGTCGACTATTATCAAAGGCGGCAATCTGACTTTTGGACAATGATTGGTAAATCAGAAAAACGAATTATTGACTTTGTATTCCATTGGCAGTCACAAAACTCTTCGGAACGACATCTTAGATAAATAACAGGTTAACTATTAACCTTTATTTAATGCAGGTTTTGAACCGTATTCTTTGAAGGAGACGATTATATTCAATTCAATCTGTATTGACATATCAATAATTTTTTTTGTCCAAATGCACAGATTGCCACCTTTGATAATAGACGACTCAAATATACCTTTTTGAGTTCCTGTGTTGCTATCAAGCTATCAAGCTTCAAGGGCTTATTTATTATCATTATAGTATTGAAGAACTATATGTAAAAAAAAGATGCGTGGTGTCGTGGTACACCGGATAGGAACGAAGTTCTTTATTATAAAAATATTAATTTTAAGTTCTATTCGAGGTATAAAGAAAATAAAACTGGAGGTTCCGCAACAACCTACGGTCATTCGGTAACGTGCGAACTTATTGTGGTACACTTCATTCACGGTTGTTTGCATAAGAATTAGTGTATTGCGCAAACGAACGCTCTGAGATCGTGGTCAATGAATGATAGAAAAATAAGTTATTTTTTGTACGTTATTACAAAGTTAAGTCGCATACTGTGTGCATTACTAATAAAAATCTTACGTTACGGACGTTTTTTCCCGGTTAGGGTACCCCTCCGCATCGTCCCATAAGGAAATTCGTTCCCAAAAATTACGCTATACTTCGTTTGAGTACGGGAATTACACGAGAAATATAAAATAAATGAAAATGAATGAAATTTTACTGACCGGTATTAGAGTTAGCAACCAAATTAACAATACCAGGTTGCTGCTAATACATACAGGGTGTATCTCTTTCTAAAAACAAAAGCGTTAGATAACTGATTAGATCGACATAATTACATTTTATGAAATCTAATGAAGTGATAGTTTTATTAGAAAATACTTCTTAGATCGTATCCCGCTATAAGAAATTAATTTAGGCTTTCATTATCACAAAAAATTCAAGCAGAATTTTATAGATTCAATTACACCAATATTAAAATCCAAAATTGAACTTAGGGTGTACTTGATTCACGAAAACGTGCCTCCATATCTTTTACAAAGCTAACCGTTATTAATAATAATAATGATAAAATATTTCAAATTCAAAAAAAGAACAGTCCTTATTTTAGTAACAATTTTAACACGGTTAAATACTTAAGGCACTCATATATGAAGGTAAATAAATGATGACCATGACGACTCTGCCAAGAGTCAAACGACTAAGTAGAGCAATCAAAAAGCTTAGTTTTATCTTAATATCAATAAAGGTAATTGTATTTACAGGACATTTTAAAAATTTACAAAGAAGATCCGAGAGAGCACACGGTGCTTTGGCAGCTTGCCAAAAGCGTCGCGACATCCATTGGCGTTGAAACATACAGGGTGTACAAACTTTTCCCAGATCATCCAACTTTCGTTCAGCACTTCGTTATCGATCATACAAAGGTAAATATATAGAGGGGTGAAAGGTTAGCGTAAGCCATATTTTGCTTAATACGCAACATTCATCTTTATATAATTAATATTAATACATGAAGCAAAAACTTTGTATCCCTTTTTACGAAAATTGCGCGGACGGAGGAGTATGAAATTTTCCACACTTATAGAGAATATAGAGAAGAAGTGCACAATGCAATTTTTTTTTAAAAATGATGCATAACAGATACATTCAATCAATAAAGAAAACATTACACACACTACATACCATGTATTTGACGCACACACGCATGCATACTATTATTGTCAAACTTTTGTTCTTGACGTCTGTTGTCAAATTGAGATGAAATATTGTTTGTCTTTGTTAATATTTTTTATCGTGTAGTCTTGGCGAAATTTTAGTATAAAACACAATCATAATAGTGTACAAACTTACAATTCCAATTAATTATAGTCGAATTTCGACTACTGCGGAACCTCTAGTCTTTATAATTAAAGGTAAGCTTTATCTAACATTAGCATCATCAGTTCGATGTTTTTAATTGAGCTTCGATTAAGTTACTTCATTCAAATAGATGAAGAATTTCTTGTTCATTATATTTTGTCCAAGCTTCAAACTTTAAATGAATCTGCTATAAAGCTGCAAAAATGTTGCTTTAACCAATTAGCCATTCACCCCACGATGTGATCGTAACAGTCAAAAAAGTTTGTATTATTATCAATTATAATTTTGGATTGGCTTCGAAAAATATAACTTTTGAAGTGAAACTTCCTTATCGGCGTTGGAAAAAAATTTACCGTCACATTTTTCGGTTACGCGTCACTTTTTTCCGTTACGCGCCATCTGTTTTGTATTCATGTCTATGATAATAAAATCCTTTTGTTTAAACTTTATCTAATTTAACTTTTTTGTATTCATGTCTATGATAATAAAATCCTTTTGTTTAAACTTTATCTAATTTAACTTTTTTGTATTCATGTCTATGATAATAAAATCCTTTTGTTTAAACTTTATCTAATTTAACTTTATTTAACCAATTTCTAGAAAGTTGCATGTAGATCATTTTTCGAAAAATAAGGCCATAAACAAGTTTCACTTCTTACGTGTGTACACTAGTACACGCACACATTTTTTTTTTTTTTGTTTTATTAACTACAGCTGGATGTTAGTATGTAGAATTCATTTCTAGGATGTCGTCTAGGCGTGTATGTTTCATAATCACTGATTTAAAATAAATGAATTTAAAAACAACAACACAAGGGTTTTACTACGCGTCAGTGATCAAGTAATCAATTACTTCACAGTCGTACGAATATAAAAGTCAGATGCAAATTTTAAAGCGATTTTCTATATATTAATACGTGAAGCAAAAACTTTGTATCACTTTTTACGAAAATTGCGCGGACGGAGGAGTATGAAACTTTCCACACTTATAGAGAATATAGAGAAGAAGTGCACAATGCTAATATTTTTTTTAAATAATGCATAAAAGATACATTAAATCAATAAAGAAAACATTACACACACTACCATGTATTTGGCACACACACGCATGTATACTATTTGTTTATTGTCAAACTTTTCTAATTGCTTTCTGTGGTCAAATTGAGAATAGATTAAATATTTTTTGTCTTATTAATATTTGTGGTCTTACCAAGTCTGTGATTATAGAAGTATAATAATCTTCAACAATAGAATCATAATAGTGTACAAACATATAATTTAAATTAATTATAGTCGAATTTTGACTACCGGGGGAGGACTAGTTATCAAAAACATTACAAATTTTGAAACCTATCAATATTGTCAATACATGTAATTGCGCGAGCGCCACTCCATGCGTATGCTTACTGAATTATATTGCATTCTAGCTGCCACAAAACCAACCGGTACCATCAACTTTGGAAAGATCAGACCCCCAACAAGTGGAATTAGTCTTGGAAGTGGCGAAGAAAGGTACCAGCAAAAGAGTTTCAAGATTTGATGACCCTCTTCGGTTTCCGGAAACACCGCTCTCTTTGTTGAAAAGCTGTAACTCGCGGAACGTAAGCTTTTTAGACATTTAGCTTAGCTAAACCAAATTTGGTTTGCGGGGTTAATAATGGATATCACTCCTCTTACCGTTTTTTTTTCTTTTATTGTTATTGTTTAGAAGGGTGGACGAGCTCACGGCCTACCTGGTGTTAATTGGTTACCGGAGCTCATAGACATCTACAACGTAAATTCCGCCACCCATCTCGAGACACGAGTTGTAAGGTCGCAGTTTTAACAGCACAACGGCTGCCTCGCTGCTTCACGGCAGAAACAAGCAGGGTGGTGGTGGTATCTACCCGTGGGGACTCACAAGACGTGCTAGCACCAGTAATGTTAAAGGGGAGGCCACAGATTCGAGTCCAAGTGACTGTTTGTAATAAGTGTAATATAATAAGGTTAACGGTATCTATGAGTACACAAAGCTGGCATCCTATTAACAATGCATAATATCCTTAACGAAAAATTATTACAATGATGATTTTCGTTGTTTTACAGAAACAAGGAAACTATATACTGTACCAACCGATTATAACGAAATCCGGTAAAACGTCTTACGTCTTAGAAATGTGGAGAACAAAGGACAGGTTCAAAGTCATTGACGAAGAGATTAGTGGTCACATAGTCGTGTGGGGCAGTGTTGCTCTGCATTACTGCAAGCTGTATGTGGATAAGAAAAGGGAACGTAACATGTCCGATTTTTTATTGGACGTTGTCAAGTACGTATTTGTTTTAATAACTTGTCAATGTGTGTGGATGTTTCCTCTGTTCTTTTTTTTCCCTACATATTGTGATAGCCCTGAGAGACTATATCAGCGTTACCCTAGCATGTACGTGAGCTCTCGGGGCTCAAACTGAAGGCGTTGCTAACACTGGCCCTAGCAAGAGCAGTGCTTCGCAGAATCTATCACGGGAACGGAAACGCGACCCACTGAGAAGATCCGGCCAGAAACTCAGTGTGCTGTGTCTATGGGTTAATTTACTCGCCGAGCCCTTCGTCGCAAGTGACGGGCTCGGCGAGGACGGTGACCAGTGCTTGAGGTATCTAAAAGCAACTTTAATGGATCAGGAGGATTCGTAAGGACGTCTTAAAGGCTTTCCTCTGTAACAACTATTCGATACTATACGTAGTTACGAGTACTGGTTATTGTAAATCTGTCTTCGTGTACTTTTTTTTAAAACCTTGAGTTGACCAGTTTTTGGGAGTTTAATATGCTTTATAATCACCTTGTATTTTCAGAGCAATTTTCGAAGAGATGGTTTCTTTGGATCAACTGATAAAGAGGATATTAGAGTTCGCCCAGAGGCTTGTGAACGCAGACAGGGCTTCGCTATTCTTAGTCGACTACAGGAATTCTGAGCTGGTCTCCACTGTATTCGATCTTAAATTTGAGCCAGGTCTAGATCTGGATATGGAAAAGAAAGAGATTAGGATGCCGATAAATAGAGGAATCGCCGGTCATGTGGCGTTGTCAGGCGAGACCATGAATATTCCTGACGCTTATTCTGATTACAGGTTTAATAGGTAAGTGAAAATGAGAGGTAATAGGTAAGTGATTTAAAGATAAATAAATAAATATTTACTAACAATCACGCCACGTTAACTGGTCCCGTGCTAAGTTCGTAAAGAACTTGTGTTACAGGTACCAGATAATGGAAATAAATGTAATTTTTTTATTATACACATACATATTATTATATTTAATATACATTCATAACCCTGGAAAAGACATTTTATATTTATCATACAAATATCTTTCCTTGGCGGGATTCAAACCCGCGACCCCCTTGTGTAGTGACCATGTCACTAACCACTACATCAGACGGCCGTTTACCATAGATATACCATAGATATATCACGTTCAAGAATATTTGCACAAACCGACTGGTAAACTATGTCAACAGAAGGGTATTATTGAGGTGATTATCTTCAGCGTTGAGGAAAACGATTTTGTGGGAAGAACTAATAGGTGGAAGAGCATTTTTGAGGTTATTGCTTATAATCACTTACAAAACTAGGTCGAAGCTCATGATATTACGAAAAACATACAGAAAAAAATTAATGATATATTCTTTTCATAGAGACGTGGACGAAGCTACTGGATACAAAACAATAAGCATTCTATGTATGCCCATAAAGGTCGAAGGAAAAGTCATTGGCGTTGTCCAAATGGTTAACAAACGCGACGATAAATATTTCGGTGATGACGATGAGGCAGCCTTCGAGATATTCTCCACGTTTTTCGGCCTAGCCCTCCACCATGCGAGGCTTTATGACAGGATCATGAGGAAGGAGCAGAAGTACCGAGTGGCCCTCGAAGTGTTAAGCTACCACAACACGTGCCGGGAATATGAGGTGCAAGCTATGCTGCTAGACAAAGAACCGTTGAATGTTGACTTCGCAGATTTTTATCTAGATCCATTTCGTTTTGATGAGTTCGAGAAATGTAAATGTATTATATCAATGTTTCGCGATCTGTTTGACATGACCCAGTTTGATATTACGACGCTGACAAGGTTCACGTTGACTGTCAAGAAGAATTATAGGACGGTGCCGTATCATAACTTTGACCATGGATGGACCGTCGCTCATGCAATGTACGCCATCTTGAAGAGCGATGTGAAGGAGAGATTTGATTATAACAAGGCAAGTAGTGTAGCTGATTATTTGGGAGGCTAGGTCGTGCTGGTAGCGGTTTTAAGACATGCCTATATGTTATGTGGTCGCAGCCTAAAGAATAAGAAGCCCGGTCGATTGGTATCGAGCGATGCAGCTATGCCGTTGTCTAAATCTCGTAGGCATATACCAACTTTCGTCATAAAATACGTACTTACCACATGTTTACGACTTTCACGGTGAAGGAGTAACATCGCGTAATAAAAAGAAAACCCGCAAAAAAATTTGATTTTCGTAATTACTCGCGGCAGGACGTCTTTTGAGCCAGACGGCATTGCTGACGTTCATGAGCGACGGTGACCACTTACCATCAGGTGGGCCGTATGCTCGTCTGCCTACAAAGGGAATTAAAAAAAGCTCGTGTAGGTACCACCGCTCTGCCTATTTCTGTAACGAAGCTGTCACGCATTTCGGTCTCGAAGGTAAATAGCCGCTATAAAAGACAATAAAAACCTCATATTTCAAAGTGGTGCGCGGCATTTATTTTGTCATGTCTATGGACTGTATATATCACTTGATAGTAGTCGTGCCGTAGCTTACACGTTAATTATATTAAAAACGAAAACGTAATTGACGTTTAGTTATAAACTGCCAATTTATATTTTTATTATATTATATTTTTTATTATTTATTATATTATTATATTATAACTGCCAATTTATATTATACATATTTAAACTGCCAATTTAAATTTTGTTTACGTGCAGAGACTGGCTCTCTTCGTTGCATGTCTTTGCCACGATTTGGACCACCGAGGGTATACCAATAAATACATGAGCGAAACAGCCTCACCTCTAGCCGCCATGTACACAACATCTACATTAGAGCACCATCATTTCAACATTACGGTCACTATTTTACAACAGGTATGATCTGGACGTATTCTGTTATCACGCAGATATAATTCTCGGTAATAAATTGTTTATTATTATGCTGCATAACAACCGAGCAATTATGTGCTTCTTCCGCGAAATAGTCATTTTGCAATTTCTAACTAATCTAGGCAGTGAAGTCATCGGCCCATCTAAGTAATCTAAAAGGTTGAGTGAGTAGTGGCTTTGGAGCAGTAATTTTTATTGTGAATCTATGCTAATATTAAAAAGAAGAAAGATTTGTTTGTTTGTTTGTTTGTATTTAATAGGCTCCGAAACTACTGAACTGATTTGAAAAATTCTTTCACTGTTTGGAGGCTACACTAATCCCGAGTGACATAGGCTATAATCTTTTTTGAAAAAAATTTGGGTTCCTTACTAAAACTCCAATAACGTAACCCAAGGTGTAAAAAATATACCTAAAATGTTCTTTACATCGCGTGCCCTACAAAAACAATTGATGATAGAATAAAATAATGTATTAAGACTTTATAGAACAAATTATTTACAAAAAGTGTCGCAACACTATATGTCTAACTATTATAGTTATGCCGCAATAAGTGTTCTTTTATTTAAAAAAATAAAACAACGTCAAATATCGTTGAAATTTTTGTTAAAGACCCGAGCGGAGCCGGAGCGGGCCGCTAGTGATAAATAAATTGGTATTTAGTGAGGAATTAAAGATAAACTTAAAATGTAAACTCCACAGGACGGTCACAACATATTCTCACATATTTCAAGCGAAGACTACAAAGAGATTCTCGGCTTCATCAGGCACTGTATTCTGGCAACCGATCTAGCGGCCTTCTTCCCTAATTTAGACAAAATAAGAGAATTGTACAGATCTGATGAAGCACAGTTCAGCTGGGACGATCCGAGTCACAGGTTGGTCAAATATCTATTATTATTGTGGGGGCTTTGCGAATACTATGACGATTCACTCCCTCTCACAAAGAGAACTCACTAATGTGTTCGTTTATTAGAATTTGCGAAATATTTAATGATTCATTCCTTCTCACAAAGATAACTCACTAATGTGTTCGCTTAATAGAATTTTAGAATTTGCGAAATGTTTAATAGGGCTCCAAAAATAGTTTTTATTGAACAAAAATATTTGGTTAGCGAATTCATAATTGTAATTGTTCTAAAGAATTTGTAAGGGCTCTTGCAGCGAATTTTTTTATTAATTTTGTCATCAGTCATAAAAAAAAGTTACTTTATTCAGAGATTTAGCCATGGCCATATCAATGACAGCGGCTGATCTGTCAGCTTCAGCTAAGCCATGGGAGATTCAGATCAAAACAGTGAAGGTTATATTTGAGGAGTTTTATGATCAAGGAGACAAGGAGAGAGCTGCTGGAAGGATACCGATACCGATGATGGACAGGAATAAGCCTGAAGAGCAGCCAGCTAGCCAGGTAGTGAAATGTATTCGTTTAATATAAACACTTACATGAACACATATCTCTACAAAACACTTTTATACCCAGAACTAGAATATCATTAAAAACTAGCTGAGCCGGCAGACTTCGTAGTGCCTCAATCGATAAATAAAAGACACATCAAGGGGACACATCAAAGGAAAAACAAAATTGTTTGTTTTTATATAATTCCGAGCTTTTTTTATATTTTCTCACCTTTTAAACCTTCCCTGGACTTCCACAAATAATTCAAGATCAAAATTAGCCAAATCGGTCCAGCCGTTCTCGAGTTTTAGCGAGACCAACGAATAGCAATTCATTTTTATATAAATATATTAGAAGAGTCACGTAATAAAATACAATAATAGTATGTTATCTAAACATAAACGAATTTCCACGTTTATGAAGGAGCTTTGCACTGCTCGATTGACTGATTTGTTTATCGTTGTGTTCATCATAATAGGATTTTTTTTTGAGAAGTTCACGAAAAAGTGATCATATTTACTATAGTCGTAGCGGTGCGTAACTATGATAATGTTTATAACTAATGAGTTTCTAATTTGGACGGAATATGATATCCAGAACATTTGTCATATGATGTCTGGTAATATAGTAAAAGCTTTTTACTGGCGGGATATACCTATGTTCCTTAAATATGCCGCGAATACAGTAACCATCGATATATTACCATTAGATAACGCATCACATACAAAAACCAAACACAAATATGAGTCGTCTATTATCAAAGGCGGCAATCTGTGCATTTGGACAAAAAAAAATTATTGATATGTCAATACAGATTTATTTGAATATAATCGTCTCCTTCAAAGAATACGGTTCAAAACCTGCATTAAATAAAGGTTAATAGTTAACCTGTTATTTATCTAAGATGTCGTTCCGAAGAGTTTTGTGACTGCCAATGGAATACAAAGTCAATAATTCGTTTTTCTGATTTACCAATCATTGTCCAAAAGTCAGATTGCCGGCTTTGATAATAGTCGACTCATATNATATTAGAAGAGTCACGTAATAAAATACAATAATAGTATGTTATCTAAACATAAACGAATTTCCACGTTTATGAAGGAGCTTTGCACTGCTCGATTGACTGATTTGTTTATCGTTGTGTTCATCATAATAGGATTTTTTTTTGAGAAGTTCACGAAAAAGTGATCATATTTACTATAGTCGTAGCGGTGCGTAACTATGATAATGTTTATAACTAATGAGTTTCTAATTTGGACGGAATATGATATCCAGAACATTTGTCATATGATGTCTGGTAATATAGTAAAAGCTTTTTACTGGCGGGATATACCTATGTTCCTTAAATATGCCGCGAATACAGTAACCATCGATATATTACCATTAGATAACGCATCACATACAAAAACCAAACACAAATATGAGTCGTCTATTATCAAAGGCGGCAATCTGTGCATTTGGACAAAAAAATTTTATTGATATGTCAATACAGATTTATTTGAATATAATCGTCTCCTTCAAAGAATACGGTTCAAAACCTGCATTAAATAAAGGTTAATAGTTAACCTGTTATTTATCTAAGATGTCGTTCCGAAGAGTTTTGTGACTGCCAATGGAATACAAAGTCAATAATTCGTTTTTCTGATTTACCAATCATTGTCCAAAAGTCAGATTGCCGCCTTTGATAATAGTCGACTCATATGGCATCGACTAACTGATCTGACTACACCATCAAGGGGAGAAAAACGATGTATAATATAATATTTGTAACCTAAACTATGCCTTTTCCTCAAGCAATAAAGTGCAGTTTAGGTTATTTTAACATTCACTTACGACCTTACGCCATGAATGACAGAAAAAGATAGTTTTTTACAATAACTTTTATTCCAAATTTAACCTTATCTATTTAAAAATAAAGCAAAAATTTACACGCATAGCATTTTACTTACGCCCTTTTAAACTTTCGATATTAAGACTACTGCTCCGAACAGAGTATTACGGAGTCGCACTTTATACTTTTTTTGTAAGAATATTTTGAGTAGTTTATTTTTTATTATGTTTTTTTAATTCATATTCATTCATTTTTTCAATTTAATTCCTTATGATTAACAACAAATATTGTATAACTATAGATAATTATACCTGAGTTAGCTATATTGTACCTTGCACATCGGTGGGGAAAATGGATAAGAGCTTTTTAAATCACAACAATATAATCCCCATCAAATTGTTTTATTTATTAAATACATGTCAGATTCGGTAAAATGATCTGCACAAACCACACTGGAGCAATTAGGTTTGAAATAATTGTCGCTTCTTTTTTCTTTTATTACTCTGTTATTAAATCTGTAAAAATGTAAAAACAAATTCCAGTTTACAGATTTCACTTCGCCATCCGTTGTACAGACGTCTGTTGCATTCGTATCTGATCTAGCGATACACGGGGTGTTCGAATCCCAGGCGGGTACCAATTTTTCTAATGAAATACGTACTTAACAAATGTTCACAATTGACTTCCACGGTGAACGAATAACATCGTGTAATAAAAATCAAACCCGCAAAATAATTTGCGTAATTACTGGTTGTAGGACCTCTTGTGAGTCCGCACGAGTAGGTACCACCACCCCACCTATTTCTGCCGTGAAGCAGTAATGCGTTTCGGTTTGAAGGGTGGGGCAGCCGTTGTAACTATACTTGAGACCTTAGAAGTTATATCTCAAGGTGAGTGGCGCAAATGCGCAAATGGCAGCGTAAATACGCTGTAGATGTCTATTATGGGCTCCAGTATAACCACTTAACTCCAGGTGGGCTGTGAGCTCGTCCACCCATCTAAGCAATAAAAAATAATAAAAAAATAAAAAATTAAGTGACTCCACTACACTTGTTCTGAAATAGCCCTATTTCATCCTTGTCTTGCATGTAACCGTTATTATGTGTGCGAAAGAAATAACTGCGAAGCAAAATAATAGGATTTAATTTCTTGAAGTACTAATTTGGTAAGAATAACTGATTTATTTCAAATATTTATCACTATCTGTTAATAAAAATTATAAAACTTACTGAATCTAAGCACTGTTTTGTTTGGTTACTTTTGACGCCTTTACGCGGGATCTAGTGGTAATATTATATCGATGACAGTAACCGTTAATAAGGAATAGCGCGCTTACAACGGATGCCTACATATTGGAATAATTTTTATCAACATGTACCGATTAGATCCGCGAATAAAGAAATGTTTATCTGCGAATATAGGAATTGGGTCGCATTTTTTAATCCGCAAATAGTGAAAACGCGAATGAAGGAAGCGCTAATAAGGAGCTTTTACTGTACTATGTTACTTAATCTTTGAAACGAATCAAGCGCTTATAATTACTCGTCTATTCTGTTTGATGATAAATTTTAATATGTATACTATATTATACAGTTATATTATTGTTTCTGTAATCATTAATGATAGAATATAAGAGTTTGTTAACGAAGGTTTTCTTCAAAAACTGAAAATTGTCGAATAATTTCAAATGTAATTCCAGGTTGGTTTCCTCAGTCAAATATGTATACCGTGTTACGACATGCTGTATCGAATACTTCCGAACACAAAGCCGATGTACGCTATGGCAACAAAAAACCTCAACAGATGGAAAGCGAGAGCTGATAAGATCCTTTTTAAGCAAGACTCGAAGAAAGATAATTCTAAAGATACCCTTGAACCAAAGGATGGAATCGGAGATGATGATGATGATGTCACAGTTAAAAATGAAGGGAACAAAAGAGTAGAAATCATAAGGCAAGAATCAAAAACTATTATAGGAGAAGCTCAACCCAAGCCTGTAGTATGGAATGATGACGAAGAATTTGCGGTTGAACAAACCTTTAGAAGTAACATTTGGAAGGAAATTGATGGAGTCACGTGGATCGAAGAAGAAGGCGTATTAGTTGCTAGTGAAGCGACGAAAAAAGATGATACAGTTTGAATATCGGAGAAATAAAAAAAACTAGAAATATATTGATCCTGAACTCATAATTAGCATATTTCATTTAGGTACATATTGGTTCTAGTACACGGCCGATCGATGTTACCATATTGTTGTGTGTGTGAACGTAGTTCATTCTTAGGGTCTTGTAAAAATCATTTAATGAAAAATGTTTATTTGAATTATAAAGTTTTGATTTATCATGTAATAACAAAATCATTTCATTATTCCTCATTAGCATGAAGTCATTCGTAAAATGAATAGCAATTTTTAAGTGAACAAGATTGCTATTGAAGTTATTAAGTATAGGTTCCCATTTTTTGTTTCACTAAAATTTCCTATTAATGTTTTTGCTCAAGTTTGAAATGTTTTTCTCAAATTAATAATCACTTGGTTCTAATTTAGAAAAGTTAGTTATTATTAGATATTTTATTATGTTATTACCTGGTGAAAAGTTAATGTAATATTACACAGATTTAATAAAGTCGAGACTTTGATAAATTCGAAATTCTATTTATTTTTAAACTTGCATGAATAAAAATAACACGAAACAATGTTAAAATCTTCTTGTAGGCATATACATTTATTTTTGTACCTTTAGCTTTTGAATATTGCGGTCAGGTCAGGTCAGGTCAGGTCAGGTATGTAGTTCATTTTGGAATAATTTTGAATTATGATTACGATTTATGCTTAAGATTTTGTATCTAAGTATGTACCATATGTGATAAACATATATTTTTAATATGTACTTCAAGGTTCCAATACATCGACGGTGATTCCTCCTTTAGCTACATTAAAGTTCTTCAAATCGTAGAATGTTAAGAAAAATCTGGAACAGAAAGTAAATAAAATTGAATATATACCTACTTAGATATTCTGTTTCGATTAAAATCTTTACTTTTAGTTATGATAGTTTTTTAGTTTAGCTCAGCAGACTGGCTGCATCTTCCCAACATAAAGCGGAGGAAGCGGATCAATGTGCAAATTATTTTATATCGTTGTAGGTAGGTAATTAACGCTCCTGGATAAATAGCAATGAACAAAAACCTGTCTTTCGAGATTCCCAATTCCTTTTCGACGAAATCTGTTATTTCTTTGGCGATGACTTTATTTTGGCTTGGGCCCAGGTTACCAATCGATTCCAGGGTGGCGACAGCGCCTGGTGTGGACGACTCGCCTCCTATCGATAAGGCACAGTCGGGGGATATCAGGCATATAAATTTCTGAAAACAAAGTTATATCATGTATCGACACAGTAAAAGCATTAATAGTCGTCAAAATAATTTAAAACTATGACATTGAAATCGTCATGAGTTTCACTACAGAATCGACAAGAAACTCAGGGTTTGACTCTGCTCCTAATCGCACAGATTTTTTTCAAATTGTCATTAGAACAGCACATGTAATAAAGCCGATTTGTATTAGAAGAAACAGCCCTACGATACCATGTACTGAACCAATTATGTTTGGTTTTTGGAATTGGTCCATATGAGAAGATGAGTTTCTAGGCCATTACCCACCACCATATCATTGCCACCCCAATAGGGTCTATTACGGTAGTAACCGTATATGATAGAACGGTAGCAATGTGGGTTGCGTTCTATTGAGAAACGCATTTTACCTCCTTTTTTTTCCTACCTAATCTGATGGTCTTGAGATACCATATTAGCATCACCGGGCCAGTAGGTGAGCTCACGGGGCTAAAAACCTGACGTTGTTGCTATCACGAACCCTAACAGGAGCCGTGCTTCCCAGAATCTACTACCGGAGCATTCTACGAATATTCATTCAAAAGAAAAAGCGACACTAAAATAAGCGAAGCACATATTAGGTATATCAATAGCATTTAGGCTGCGTGAGAATGATATAGAATAGGTACTTCTGGAAGTTTTTTTCTTCCTAATGTGACAAGTGAAATGTTGCTTTTATTATTTAGAAATATTTCAAAATTATTATTATTAAGCTCATTATTTTAAACCTTTTCTTTTTTCATCATTTTGAGACATCACCAAATAACCTTTTATGAGTAAAGCACAATTAACGCAAAACACTTATTTTTGAAAGAAAATACATTTTTAGAGTAATCTTTTACTTTAAACAAGAGTTTCAATTATATGTTACATGTAATTATTATATATAACATATATTTATAGTTCATATATAATTAATCTTATAATATAATTAATATCAACCAGAGTTACAATTATATGTTATATAATATAATTGTATATATATTAAATTTATAATTATTATAGTTATATAATATAATTGTAACTCTTGTTTACAGTTCAGGTAAAGGTCCAGGGAATACATTTCAAATTCAAGCATCAAGGGACGTGACAACATCATAGCTTATAATCAATTATTAGGTGTTCACTTTTCTTCTTAACCATAGTCTACTTTATTACTCGTAAAACGACAGTTATAAAGAAGTGATCATCATGAAATAATTTTCAAAATACTTTTACAGATTCATCTCCTAATTGATTCCAGTATCAATTTTAATGAGCTTAGGTTATGTTATATACTGCTTATACTCGTAATTCGAAGCGACCGAATAAATGTAAGATAATTAAAATAATTTGCAACATACGTACATGTAAGCACACCGGTGATGACTACAATGATATTTAATCTTAGAATTCTAGATCTGTTAGTAACTTTGAAGCCAGCTAATACAATAGCTACGGATGTTTTTATCAAACAATTTAACCTTTACTAGGTTTTGAAAAACAAGGCTACTGAATTCGAATATAGAATTAATAATAAATTGAAGAATAATGAATTTTTCTCTTTTCACTCACCTCAGGTGATTTTTGCACAGCCTTGGATAGGACCGGTATTATTTTATTAACAAAATCATTGGGTATGAAACTGTTTGTTAAATTAGTGAATATTTTAAGGCACGGCATGTCTTCCAAGACCGCTCGGAGTTGGACTGAAGCGTGATAACGTTTATCAATTGTGACTTTGACTGCTTTATCTTTCGTGTTACGTACATATGAATTAATTTTTTTTTAATGTAAGAAAAATAATATAATTTAAATATATTTTAGTGTAGGTTTCGTCTTTTATATAACGTAACGGGAAATATTATTGAAAAATGAATGAAGGATTTGAAACAATCATTGATTTGGTAATGTTTGTTGGAATTTTTGTTATGATTTTGATGGGAAAACGGGAGAACGGTCTGCCTATGTGATGTGTTGTTCGGAGCGTATATACCTATAGGTAGATACTGCAACGTGATTGATGTTGCTTGTTTGAAACGCCAAGTCATGATAACAAATGTATTCTACTGGATTTTTGATTGCTTGACGCGAAAACTAAGCAGGATGGTGATACTTCCCCTTGGTGACATTGCGAATATTTCACATCTAGGTCATTTCGTTTATTTATTTATTTATTGCACAGATGGGTGGACGATCTCACAGCCCACCTGGTGTTAAGTGGTTACTGGAGCCTATAGACATATATAACTTAAATGTCGTCCCTTACCTTGAGATATGGGTTTGAAGGTCTCAATATAGTTACAGCGGCTGCCCCGCCCTTCAAACCAAAATGCATTACTGTTTCACGGCTAAAATAGGCAGGGCGGTGGTATCTACCCATGCGGACTCACAAGAGGTCCTAAAACCAGTAAATTAAGTTCACAAAATAAAATTCACAGTAAAATCATCTCCTTTAAGATATGACATAGAAGTCTTAATTGTGTTATTGAATCCGGAATGTATCACTGCTTCGCGGTCTTCTTCTTCTTCGGGGTCGTCGTACTCCCTTCGGGGGCACGGAGCGGGCCTCGGGGTAAACCCCACTACCCGGGCAGACGCTCCCTGCCACATAGGGCAGGGGTGAAATAAATGCAAGACTGGATTGGGGGGGGGCTGTTCGCAGCGTGCTTCGGCACACTGACATCGACAAAAATACATACATATATATAATACGATGGGCAGTCTGGTGACGGCTCGATGCCCGCGGCGGTGACACCCCGGCGCCGGCTGCTGTCCTCTGCTTCCTTACAGCTATAATTACGTCTAACTACAACTAACTACAACTAACCTAAAGCTAACTAAACTACTATATACATACAGGGACAACAGTCAGCAACCTTGGGGCCCGCCACCGGCCCCATGCCGCGGCCCCACCTCTACAAACCAGAGGAGGAGCCGCGGCACTAGTTTGGCGCTCACCCGTTCTGGGCTCCCCAAAAGGGGAAGACCATCGCGGGGAGGGACCGATGTTAAACACTCCCCAGACGGGGGAGTGGTCCACCCAACGGGGGTGGGAAATGGGTCCCCATAGGGGGGCACCCCAACAGATGTGGGGGGAAGTGAAGAGTGTGGACAGCTCAGTCCCATGGGGGCACTCATTATGAGCACTCCCATATCACTCCGGTTAAGCCGACTATCTTACCATAGCCGGGGGTTCCAGTAGCTCCCTTGGTAGCGCCCGACGCCATCAGGTGGTCTGGCGTGCAAGGGAGCTATATTGTGGAGGTGCTCGTGGGGTCCACCGTCAGCCCGCTCGTAAAGATTACGAGCTAGCCTCCGGATGAACTCCTCGAGCGACTCCACATCTAGATCCCGGGCGATTACGTCATTTCTGACGTAACGCCCTGCTCCGACTATCGTGCGAAGAGCCAGATTTTGCTGGACCTGTAACCTCGCCCGCATACCCTGCGGGATGAGGTGATACCAGGCCTCAGCTGCGTACGTGATACGGGAACGGACATACGTCTTATAAATGCCGAGCTTAGTCCTGACCGGCAACCTGGAGGCCAACACCGGCCGGAGGAGGAATCTCGCACAGCGAGCGGCCGCCAACGCCTTATTGGCGTGGGCGGTCATCCTCAAACTCCGGTCGATATCGACCCCCAAGTACCGGACGCTGGATCTAAACTCGACATTAGCGCCACGGAGACTGAGCTGTCCCGGGACGACTGTTGTGCGGACCGGACCGAAGAGGATAGCCGCAGTCTTCCCCACGTTGACCGCGACCCTCCATCGGTCCAGCCACTGGGGCAGTAGGTCCAAAAGCCTCTGCATCCTCAAAATGGCCGCAGAGGGGACGTTGGATGACGAGAAGTAGGCGCTGTCGTCGGCAAACAGCGCCAACTTCACGTCTACTTCCCACGCTTGGAGGTTACCCTCGAGCGTGGGAATGTCGTTGGTGTAGAGAGCGTAGAGGAGTGGGGCCAGGACGCTTCCCTGCGGAACTCCGGCCGTGACTGGGCGCACCGACGCTTCGCGGTCGAAATAGGCAGTTGCAGTGGTATTGTCTAATCATCCTTCCAACACGACCCGCCATTCGCGATTACGCAAAAAATGTACCAAATGGTACCAAAGTGCAGCTTGCTTCCGCCGCGGATGCGGGTCGTAATGTGATGACACTATGTGTTTAACTCGTTTGTCACCATGTAAGTTAATGTCTGTTTGATGTCGTAGCCTATGCATCAATTTTGTTTATTTTATTTATTGCATATTGCATAGATGGGTGGAGGAGCTCACAGCCCACCTGGTGTTACCGAAACGCATTACTGCTTCACGACGGAAATAGGCAGGGTGGTGATATCTAGGTACCCATGTGGACTCACAGGAGGTCCTAGAGAGGTTTGATTTTTATTACACGACGTTATACCTTCACCGTGGAAGTCAATCGTGAATATTTGTTAAGTACGTATTTCATTACAAAAATTGGTACCCGCCTGCGGGATTCGAACACCGGTGCATCGCTACACACGAATGCACCGGACGTCTTATCCTTTAGGCCACGACGAATTCTATGTTATCAGGACTAATATATAACTTTTATTATCTATTTAACAACACAAATAAACTCATTCCAATATATAAATGGTTAATGTTAATATTATGTAGTAATCCATGTTATAAAATCATGGGTTGCAATACAAAATCACTCGAATTACGGAGTTTCACAAAACATGTTTTCATCAAGTCACTTGACCGTAATGCTTTGACAACGATGCACGAAACAGAAATTAGTTTATGGATACGGTATTCCTTTAATATAAAAATACATAGCACGAATAATTTGGCCATATAAATGTACTTTAATATCATCACTACTTTTTTTATTGCTTAGACGAGTGATGGGTGATGGAGCGCATAGCCCACTTGTTGTTAAATGGTTACCGGAACCCAATGACATTGACAACGTAAATGTAGCCCCCATCTTAAGACATGAGTTACAAGTCTCAGCTTTTACTATACGCTGCCCTACCCTTTAAGCTGAAACGGATTACTACTTTACGGCAAAAAAAAGAAAATTGCGGGTTTGATTTTTATTACACAATGTTATTCCTTCACCGTGGAAGTCAATCGTGAACATTTGCTAAGTATGTATTTCGTTAGAAGAATTGTTACCTGTGTGCTTAGTGCGAGTTTTTTAACGTTCTCGATAGCGTAAAAGTTAACTCAAATTTGTATGGAGTTGGATGAGCGCCTATAGTGGCAAACGTGCAAAAGCACACTGATGCCTGCGGAATTCGAACTCCGGTCCAGTCGTATCGTTCGATATGAACGCACCGGGTATCTTATCCAATAGGTCACGACATGACATCAAATGGACATTCCTTTGGGTCTATAGACGAATTTATCTACGGCACAACGCAAAACTCAGTATTTTATGACTTTTAAAGGAGATATTCAAGTTACTTTTTGTTTTGTAGTATTTCGGATATGTCTGTATTTTAATATTTCTGGTTATAGCTTTTGAAATAGTTTTATTAATTGCTTAAATTACTCGGAACAAAGACCTCTCCAGAGTTGCGCGGCTTAGCATCATATTGATACACGCTACGGCACGGAATAGATAAATAAGGTTGGAATGGTAATGTAGGCGGGGCAAGCGTGCCACAGTTATGATCGAACAAACATAACTCGACCGATTCTTTCATTCACCGCGTTTAGTGCGCTTCGGAATACTTGGGCGAACAGATCTCCGCTTTATAGTGCCGTGTTGTGCAATTATAACTTGTAAAACAAAAAATCAGACCTCAAGTATAGAGCGAGGAGGTATATCTTTCGATCGGTAAGTCGAAATTACCATTTAATTACAATATTATTTGTCTAAAACATAAAAATATACTGAGCATTATGAAATTCCAAACATTAACAATATTATTGCAGCAAGTTATAAATAGCATACATTGCGCGATGTGTACTCGCCCAATGAACGCAATGACCAAGTCAGCTTCCAATGTACTACATGCATTGCGTTCTCTACACTTCAATCTTTGAAATTTCGGCCTTTGCCCTGATTGGCCGTGGTGCACGGCGCTAGTTTGTCGATAGTGAGGTGACCATGTGGTGAAATAAAATCATCGACAGAATTCTCGACTATATTTACATTTGACATGGATAATTTTTGCATTATTTTATATTTAATTAATGATACCTAGTATATTCTTAGTGAGACGTATTTTGAGTAAAATAAATATGTATTATTATTATTGAATTATTATCATTGAATTAAAGTGAAGGTATAATATAAAGGGACATGTAGACCTCTCATTTACGGGTATTTACTATATTGTCTAAGACGTATTAAAATCTAAGTAAAATGCCATTTGACTTATGCAGTAAATAAAAATTTTTAGGTTTCCTAAAGAACCTAACGCCAGGGAACAATGGATTGACGTGACAGGTAGAGGAAACTGGAGACAAAGACGAGTAATATTTGCTCTAAACATTTTACTGAAAATGATTTTACCATAAAAAAATCAGAATACACTTAGTTCTGAAAAATTCATTCGCAATTAATAGCAAGCGCCAACTGCTTAACAAATACGTTTTATTCCAGCGACAGTGACTATTTGTAATTAATAAAAGTAAAATAGTTTTTTTTTTCATTATTTATTCCATGTTTCATTTTCTCCATTCGTTCATCAGATAATTTATCGACAAAGATTATCGATTTTATCA